TCGCTGTCCTCCTCACTTTCCAGGCTGCATATCTAGCAGCATTGAGCGTGGCACTGATGGTGAGAACTGGCAATGCTCCACCTAAATCACTGATACACCGAGTCACACACGCCACAGGTCTGCCCCACACCCAAGATGTTATCAGAGAAATAACACATTTCTCAACCAAATCATAAAAAGGGTCAAACTATGGAGACCCAAGAGAAACAGAAACCCTCTTTAAACAGGGTAAGAAAGGAAGTTAATTCAGAAACAAATTATCCCCTGCAGTAAGAAAAAGTGCCCAGCAGAGGTAATCAGCTAGCCAGCCTTTTCCTGTCCCGATGCAGAACAACAATGACACTTCTTGTTCTCATCCATTACAAATAAATCTTCCTCTGTGGAGCAGTTCCAGGCACAAGCTTTCAGAAACCAGAATTTGCAAGCGAGGAATGAAGCTGTGACCAGCAAGCCAGCTCACCCGCAGCTTGGCACACGGTTGTTTCAACAAAGTCGCTCCAAGCTGGCTATCATTTTCAAACTGGTAAAAGCACTTTGCAGGGCTCCAGAAAGACCCATCCTCTCTAGTAGTTAATCTCTCTAGGGGACAGTATTTACTACAGGTCAACGCATAAGGACACATCTCCTCCTCCCTGTGCACATGCTGCAGGCACTGAAATGAGTCATCCTTCTCTCCAACAGATCTCCTTCGAGACCCAAACTCCTAACAAAGGGTTTGAATTTGAGAACTCCTTTCCATAAGACAGCGCCTGCAAGAGCTTCAGCTCTCCAGCATAACCTGGGACAGCCCAACAAGGGTGGCTAGGCACTTAAAAGAAAATTAATCAGTTCTTTGAATCCAAAGAACACTTGAGAGTTGATGGTTATAAATTTTGGAGAAGAGGCTCTTGTTTACAAGACTTCACATCTTGTAATCATTCCTCTAAACGATAATACTTGTTTCAAACAGTAGAACCATTGAATTTCCCATATCATCCCATTTTGCTCTTTGAAAGAAGGCGCAATATTCTGAGGAATACACAGTAACTGAAGCATCTCTATTTGAAATCTAGTCAACAGTTAAATCAGAAGCAACATGGCTTTTCTGTAGACCCACAAACCTCTGGGTCTGGACAAATCCCTAAACACACGAAACAGGCTTTGCGTTACTTTTGTTGAGATCTTTCACACAACCACTAGTCATACGTTAAATCTGAGAAGTTACTACTCAAGCTTTACTCTGAACAGCAGCCATGCTTGATATCCAAAATAACCTCACAATACCTGCTTTTGAAAGGCTACCTGGGTTTTTCCAAGTTAAACTCCTCCACAGGAATCATTGCAATGACACACTACATCAGAGTAAGAAGTTTTATAGCAACGCAGAGCACACAAACCACGAAACCACTCTTTACTTGCAGAGAGATTTTTTTCCTCTGCTTTGCCTGTTAAAACAGCTTTAGCAAATCAGTTTAATGCACTGAAAATAAGTCCTTCACCAATTCACGTGCCTTATCAACGCAGCCAAAAGATATGGCTCTTCAACTACTCAATCCAGACTACGAAGCAGCTTGCTTTCATGTTTTTCTAAGGATTCAGCTTTGGAAGAAAGCAATTATAGCTGTCTTCTGGCAAGAAGAATATAGCCTGGAAGTTATGATGCCTGGGAAATTCCACTCAGCTCAGGGAACATTTGTTCAATAATCTACACAGCTGGTGTTTCTCCTAGGAGCATATCAAGGAGAGAAACCCACCAGCAGTCAGTTAACAGTTACTTTAACACCCTTAGCATTAGGTATCCTTCACTCCAAGGGGAAAAGTAATTTTAAAGAATAGGCATTTGCATCTCCATTTGTCAGACAGGGAAAGAAGCAATTGGGTGTGATAGGACTTGCCTTGTGATGAGAACCACTTCTCCATATACTCTCCATTGGATAAGCGAGGGCCTGCCTTGGGTTTTTTGAGCCAAAAAGCTGTGCAACACCAAACCCAATAGTTCTCACATGGGCTTCCTTCTCCACCTTTCCCGATCCAGACATGCAAAGCATCCAGTCTACCCCCTCCAGGCTCTGGATCATGGTAGGTCTGGCTGGTTCCTGGGGAACTCCAAGCACCTTCCTGGCAGTACATCTACCTGCTGCAGTCATTTCATGTTGGAGGGGTACCAAAGTACCTCCCTAAGCTCCTCCTAACAGCAGAGCTTCCTCATGCTAAGTAACTGAATAAGTCTGAGGATAACAGTTCAGCACTCCCCATTCTGGGACAGATCTGGCTATCCCTCATTCCAAATTTTGTAATGAAACAATCTACGAGGAGCTTCACAGTGAAGCAGCAAAAGATCTCCATGCCAGTTTGTGTCTTGTTGTTCTGGCAAATACTATGAATAGAAGGAGAAAAAAAAAAAAAAAAGAGTTGTGTCCATGGTTTCTAAGGTATGAGATCGTGTTCTTGGCTGATGAAGCTAATCTGTAACTCTGAAGATTTGCTTTCTAGTTAAAAAACCATCACATACACAAATACCTAGCAACCCTCACTCTTCTAGAGCTAAATACTGCTGGTTAGTGAGGCATGCTCACCATCCCTGGAGGTGTTCAAAAACTGTTTAGATGTGGTGCCTTGAGACATGGTTCAGTGGGTTTAGCAGGCGTGGTGGCATTGGGTATACAGTTGGACTTGATGATCTTTGAGGTCTCTTCCAACCATTATGATTCTATGCAGTACTGTGCTACTCTCAGCTACACAGAATTTTAACGAACAAGTCTCAAGGTTTCCATAAGCTTATGTACCCTGGTATGGCTCCAGCAAGATCAGGTTTTGGTCATTCATGACAAAAAAAGCCATAAAGCCTCTTGTGAATCAGAAGTCAGTTGTGTTCCTGTACTTCAGCGGAACATTCAAACTTTGAGATTTTCAATTCCTCAACGGTTTGTTCTGTCACATGGCTATAAGCCCAGATCCATATGGTACATCTGACTTTTCTGTCCATTAGGAATGCTCCTCCGCAGCCAGGCTCTGCACAACTCAGTGCAAATCCTACACAAGTTTTTTCTTTCTGACTAAGCTAATTTCAGCTTTAATAATTTCCCCTCAAAAAACAATGCTGAAGGAACACTACTGAAACTGTGTCTCTGAGTTGCTCTTCCTCATTAATATAATCCTGTCACGATACTCAAGCCTATCTCATCCACTAGGAATAAAAAGTTAAAAGGTGCACAATAAACAGCAGTGCTAATTTAAAATTAGCAAAGAGTATAGGTGAAATGCAAGGATAAAGAACAGCAGATATCTTAAAGGTTCTTCCCACTCATAAGGAAAATTTTTTCATCAACAAATTCCTTTTACTTTAGAGTTTTGGAAGTTGTTTTGCAATCTGACTTCAAGAAAAATGTAAGACCTAAAAATATGGTTCACAATCTGTTGCACAATAGCTACAGCAGAAATACAGTGCAATAATTAGATAATTACAGTTAATAACTCATCACTGCTTTCCCACCACTTTCTTCTCCCTCTTCAGAGTAACAAAAGAAAGAAACAAGGAAAGTTTTGCACAAGACACCTTCAGGCTGTAAGCTTATTTTTCAAATCATGTCCTGTCATGGAAGCTAGTATTACTCACACGGACACATTTAAAGCTTTGGCACACTTTCTACAGAAAGGTGGAACTTACCCTTTCCAGTTTTGTGTGTATAATCACTGCATTTGTATCATGACCTATAGAAACTCTTTGTTATTAAGTCAATGTTCCTCCATAGAGCCGTGTCACATGCCACAGTAGAAATTTCCACCCTCTCCCCTTCCTAGAGTAGGATGTATGTATGCTTATTGCCCTTATGCTACCTATGGCATCCAAAGGGGAGAAAGCTGTTCAAAAGCCCTCTTGGTTGATCAGCGTAGAAAGACCATTTTACTGTAGAAACTAATTTTCTTCTTTGTGCAAGCTGCTCCGTACATGCCAGGTTTAAGAGCAAAGCTGACATGCAGCACAGACATCATTCAGTTCACTTATTTCACAGAACAGAGCCTTGATATGCAATAGTTTCCTTTTTACATAGAGACCATATCTTTCGCTTTCATAAGAGATTAGAAACACGGGTGGGGGTTTTTGTCATTTGGTGATGGCTTTGGGGTTTTTTGGGGGTGGTTTTTTTTGCGTGTTTTTTTGGGTTTTGCCTTTTTTTTTTAAGATCATCTATTTCCAAGGCAGAATAGTCCACATTTTTTCCAGCCGTAAACAGAGGATAGGAGAAGAACTGCTAGCAGAAGGAAAACTATTGCAACAGTTGTCCTAGCAAACTGGCTGTGAAGGCTAAAATATGTGCACGCACTCCTCGAGCCTTTGGGCACCTATCCAACATATCCTAATAATTTCCCTGGGAATTAACATATTTCTTGACAACTTCACTGAGAGACTGCATATGCATAATGCAATTTGACTTCTGTTTGTTGCTTTGCTTTGGTTGGCTCAGTGACCCAGGTTCTAGCCTTCCTTTGTGAAGGGACAGTTTGGTTCACCCAACACACTTGACTTTGAGGCAACAGTTTCAAAACCCAGTTTCGGTCAAGTAGAAGCTGGGGTGAAGCCACACCATGTCTCATAAATCCCAGGTGACAGAATCCTTACTGTCTTAATGGTCTGCTCCTGCATTTAACAGCATTGACAAATAATCAGCATATGAATTAATTGTCAGACAAAATCATCACTGTCTAAATAGTGTCGGAATTTCTGAGTTCAATTTTCAGTTACAAAATTTAGATGTTTTCATCAAAGGACCTAAGAAATCTTTTGGTACAAGTTCCCAGACTTTGGCAGGCAAAGTAGTCCGTGAACCAGTTTGTCCCATTCAGTTCGTCTCTAACGTTTCTCAGTAATTAGCATTTTCTGGCTCTGATTTTTTTCAGCATTCTTAGCTTGTTAACACCAGATTTCGACAGCATCCAAGAGCTTAATGCCCTGTAGAGACTGTGGTCACCTGTGCCCACGCTACCGCTTGTCCATTTGCGAAGAAGAGCAGCCCAGTGCTGAGACTGAGATCCCACAGACCAGGATGGATGGAGAGGGCATCACCATGTTGACTTATAAGGGCACATTCTGAACAGTTACTCTTACCAGCAGCAGGAAAAGTTACAAGTTTTGAGCAGCCAGTGGATTCTGCTAATCCAACCTAGGTACTTACATGATACAGAGCCAGGACTGCTGATACTGCACCCCTGTGACTGTCGCTGTGACCCCTTGAATTGTATCTGATAGAAGGTGAACTAGGAAAAGAAAAGAGGGAAACATTACAGACTGCCCATGTTTGGTTTGCAACTGCAAGTAACATTTCCTTTCAAATGGAAGCTGAGCACTAATACCAAGCATACTTATCTATCCGCACAGTGGATTGATGCAAGGGTGGGGAGTGACAGAGGAAGATGGAAACGTTTCTCTTGCTGCTTTTGAATTCTGTCCTTAAACTATTCACAGCTCGGAAAGGCAACTGTTTTCTCCTCCCAGCATCAACCTACTGCAGTGTTAGGTTATTAGATTAGCATTATTCAACACGCACACAGGACTGGAAGAGGTGTTGGCTTCTGAATCCCCTGCCCTCTATCCCCCTCTTCCCAATTACTGTTCATATTACTTTATGGCACTGCTTGATTTTTCTTTATTTGCAGAAAGTCTAAATTAAAGAGATTATAAATGCAAAGCTCTAAGACAGGTAGCAAGAAGTAACCAAAGCGTGAACATGCTTACTACATGCTCAGGACTTGACATATCTGATAAACAAATTCACTCAGGCTGTGACAGTTACATTTGAGGTGCGATGTACATGTTTGTATATTCATTCCTGTTGACTCTGAAACATCATGGGTGCCTACAGAGAAACAATGCTTAGTTAAGCTTCTTCACATCTTGGGCTAAAAGGTAGCGTTTTAGACTATGCTATGAAACTTGCTGATAGCTTAAGCTGACATGTGAGCCAACAACTTTGGCTAGGGCTGCCCTAGTTGAGTTTCTGGAGAAAAACAAAGTGTCTCCCTTCCCTTCCAGTGGGCTGGGAGCAATGCAAAGGCTCAGCCCTCCCCAACCAATTACTCATCCAAAGCAGGCAAAATTCCCCAGCCTGTGTGAATTCAGATGGAGAATCACAAGGCAAAGGAGTCAATTCTGAAGAGACACCAGCAAGTGTCTCTTTGCTGAAGAGTACCAGACTTGCCTGAGGACAAGCACACCTAATGGATCCAAACAGACAAGACACTTAAGTACTGTAGACTTCTCTCCCCAGAGAACACCGTTATGTGTCATCTTAATGAAACAGGGGCAAGACTCCACCAAAATACAAAAACTCTGGAGGGATGGGACTCTTCAGTCTGAGTGACACAGAAAAACAAACCCCCAGTGTCACATGCAACATGCAAGTCTGGGGATCATGCAGCAGTGAGTGTTCAACACCACCAATGGAAAGGATGACAGCTTAACAATAACCCCCAGGCAAAAGCAAATCAAAAGTTGATTACCATTCCCTTCTCGTGGGGTCCCTGAATCCGTGAATAAAGTGCTCATGATTTTTTCAAAGTTGCAGCTTGGCTCCATGTTCTCAGGATCCTCAGCAAAGTGTTTCAACATCTCTCGAAGAACATCGTCCAAGGAGGTGGCTGTTTCATCAAGGATGATGCTGGCTCTGGCCAAGAACCCATCCAAGTCTCGGTGGGCTCTGACTTCCTCCTCGAAATTCTTTAATTTCAGGTACTGTGTTAAGAAGAGGTCATAGCGTTAGATAGCTATACACAATATCTAACAGCAAAGGCCTAGGATCCGTGTTGTTCACAAGCGGTTTTGCTGAGGTTACTGCCAGGCAACCAATGATTCTGGAACCACTTTGGGCACTCAGATCACATTACAGAAGAGAAGTTTTACACATTGATGCATTATGCATTAATGCACTGAAGGCTTGCATCTTCTAGGCTTATCCTAAACAGAGTGCCCATAGGTGAATGCCTAGGCACTAGTTATACCCTGACATAGAAAGCAGAATTTAAAAAAAAAGTTTTTCGCCTAGGATAAAGCATATAAGGTAGCCTAAAGCAAAAGTGTTTAAGGTAGCATTTTAAATCCTCTTTAGGTTTAAATAATTCAAGAAGTTTGCAGAAATGTGGGAAAAGTTATTTAGAAGAAATGGACTCTGAGCTCAGCAGCATGAAAAATTACCAGTATGCATCTCAGTGCAACCTAACCAGTTGTTCTCAAACTGGGAACCATCTCTTCCCAGTGCTCCCAGTTAGAGAGCCTGAAGTGGGAGACTGGGAATGCCATCCAGCTCATCACCTTTTTTGACACTTCCTAAATTTTTATTGTTCCCACTCCCAAGGAAGTTTTCTTCCTTTGCATATAACATTTAAGCTTTGAATCAATAAAAAAAAAGAGACATCAGACAGAGCCTGACACCATCTCAACTCTCTGCCTGTTCCCTCTGCTGTTTCAGACTTGTTGGCCTTGAGATGGAAGAAACAATCATGCTGTATTACAGAACCTCAACTCCTTTCTGTATCTGTCAGCTGTGAAGTTCACTGAGTGATTAAACTACAAATGCATCACTCCCATTTCACAGTTCTTGGAAATCCACACACAGTACTGGTCAAGAAGGACCAACAGTCCTGTCCTCTCCTTCAACAGCTTAAGATAGAGCGAGGAAGTGGGAACTGCACTTTGTTACATTGATCTTCCTTCCCAATGGGAAACCAGTCAGGCTTGAAATCATGATGCTGAGGACCAGATTGTCAAGATGCATTTAAACCCTCAGTTCCCCTTAAGCTCAGTAAGAATCAAGCTCTAAATTGCTTTTACAAATCTGACACCAAGTCGCCTCCAACAACCAGGACCTTGGCATGTTCTCCCCCAAGTTACAGGACCACCCCAGAGCCTGACTCGAGGATCCCCTCCTCTCACACATACCCTCTCTACCTTTTCCATTTATAGCCTAGACACAGGTTAAAAAAAAATGCTAACATCTCACTAATTACTGTAATTATCACAGCAACTATCAAGTTGTCAGTACACATCCATTGCAATTAACACTGTTTTACTTCACATCAATCATTTCTTACACAGCATCCTTGAGAGGGAGGATGCTGTGATGGATTTCAGCTCCCACTCCCAAAGCTTTGTCACCATCTGCTCTTAGGAGAGGAGACAGCGAAACAACTATGATACAACTCCACCTAAAAGAGACCCTATAACTGCAATCCGCTGAGTCAGTCTCAAATTATCACTGCATGACAGCAGGTTAAAACACCATCTGTAACACTGGTGTTCATGGGGTCACCATATGACCAGCAACCACTTCCCAAAGGTAACTCATTTCAGCTTGTCTAGCATGCAGAGTCCAACCTAGGATGTAGGTCAAACAACAAAGCAGCTAAATGACAAATCAAAGACAGGATTTAACAAAGGTGGATGGCAGAGGAGGAACCCACAGAGGTATGAGAACGGTTAAGAGCATCAGGAGTACCACAGTGCTGAGGAGCTTTCAAAAAACAAAAAGCAAGAGTGGCTTCACGTCACCAACTTCTCCCACACATGAGAGAAGCCACCAGAAGCAGAACAGTGGAAAAAAAAAGGTGTGGGATAGCTGTGGGACAGAAAAAATTAATCAAAGGCATTCAGGAGAGCCATTATCTGCGCACATCATCTCAACACTGATCCTTCAGTGAGCTGTGCATGACAGCATCATTTTCTTGTTGTGGCAGGACAGCACTGTCAGCAGCTTACTAGAAGTCATAAGGATTCAGCGCCAGCTCTGTCAGAGGCTTCAGGCAATGCCTTAGGTAAGTAGTTTTCCATGCCTCAGTCCTGTGTTATTCCCCTGCTCCTGGTCCTTCATAGGAGATATAGGAAACAGGGGCAACACCCATCCTTATTATCGCCCCTAAAACATCGGGGAAGATACGCACATTGAACATCACAAGGCAAATAGCCACCACGAGAGAATATAAATGCACCACTCACTGAGACAAACCAAAATCAAATCAGTGGAAGCACTGGTACAGCAATGCCTCGGAGATAACTCAAACAGAACTGTTCCAGTCAGGATACCCAGTGGTTTCAGGATAGATTAACAGTTGCTCCTTCACAAATATTTTTTAGCTAGATAGTCAAGTCACACCAGGATACTTGATGCTGGAAACTGCTTAGCAAGAAACCCAAGACAGCTACCCAACAGCTATTTTAATAGCACTGAGAATCCACATTGCATCGTGGCAAGAACAGAGGCTGTCGTGCCAAAGAAAGGGGAACACATTGAAACAGCCTCCTCGACTTCAGGTAGGTCTCTTGGCCAAAGTCGCACACTATCTGGGCAAAAAAAGAGCTCTCAACACTCATCAAGAAGGCCTAAAATGCAAGTTCTCTGCTGGGTGGCTGCTCTGGAGACCACCTCCACTTACAGACATCACAAGAACCTTATGAGAAGGGGTGTCCAAAAAATACCTTGTCCTGAGCAGAGCTCTACCTGTGCTGGTACCATGGTCACTTAGGCCAATTCCCTCAGAAAAATGCTGTGATGGTGATTAAATAGTTCAAACCATGTCAAGGAGCTTCTCCTTATTTATGCTTACCAAGTGCCATGCCAGACAGCAATTTGCCCAGGACAGATCGCCTTTCCAGCACTCCTGACGGGGCACAAGAACCACAGGCTGCCACCAGAGACAGGGACAACCTAGCAGGGAAACATCTCCAGATAAAGCTAACCTGACCACTTTTCTGCTAGTGATTCCCCCTTCTCAGACACTTGGAGCCATCTCCTCTGTGACTCAGGTCCCAATTTCCTTTGCATTTAAATTGCAGAATTTCCACTCGTCCTCCCTGGAGGCAAAACCTGGCAATAGTATCTTTTCTCAAGCCCTGCTAAAGCATGCTAGCTCTCTGCTATTTGTTGCTCAACAGCATACTAAAATGCTCAAGCATGAACTATGAGCCAGAAAAGCAGGAATCCTACAGCTCCAAAAAAGAAAAATAAAACAGAAGAGACACTTATGTGTTAGCAGTTTCCAACTATTTCTTATCAGAGGCAGATCCTGCATTTGGGCTTAGAATTTGCACTTTAAGTGATTAAGTTCTTAAGATACTTTCAGTCAAGTGTATACAACTCAGAGAACCTTGGCACTAGTATTAGACAAGACAAATTATTGACAAAGACATCTCCATTCCTGAGCACAGGACAGCTTATTTAACTTCTACGACTTCATATCAAACTGTGTAATTTTTTTTTTTAATCACTGGTGGGTTTGTTTTGGGGTGTTTTTTTTTGGGGTGTGTGCACTTTTTTTTTTACCTTATGGGGAAGTTTTCTTCTACTAAAGCTACTATGCCTTTTCCTCCCCCTACTAATTCAGCCTGCTGAAATACTCTTTTCAGGATTTGAGCTGTCTTAGAGACCTGGAGCAAAGAAGAGTCTGAGAGCTCTCTGGGATTCCCTAAAAAGCCCCCAAGGTTTCGGTACACAAATTTAAGAACTCAAGTTACAACCCTCAACGAAACCTGCAATATATGATTTAGCAGGATCAGCGACGCTACAAGTTTTCACACAGACAGCCCCTCCAACGAGCAGATGAGGCAAGAGTCAAGACAACTTAAAGCACCATGAGCCATGCCTCATAGCCTCAAAGACCAAGACTTCATGTGGTATTAAATATCAACCCATTTCCTCTCTGCATACTTTGTGTACTTTCATAGTCAGAGGTTTGTAGTAATACAGCCTATATGAGTTTGGGTTGGTGTGGTTTTTTTGCATTTTCACCTTATTATTATTGAGTTACAGTCTCAAGAGCATGTGTAAACTAAGCCTTGTTTTCTAATCATCCTCCTAGACTATGTGTTTCCAGGGAATTCACTCCTGCTTAACCTCGAAGGCAGACTTGATTAGCTGGAATAAACAGGAAACCAAATCATAGCAGTGTCTATTGGGTGCTTCTGCTTTCGACTCGAGAGGAGCTCGGCAGCCTGAATCTCTATGGTGTATGCTTGGATCCCTTTGCAGGCAGCTGCAGAAGAGAAAGTGATGAATTAACATGTCAAGGAATTGTCTGGGACAGAAAGCAGTGGAACAAACAGAATTACAGAGAAATTCTTTGGAGAACAAGCAGCACATGGTCTTTTAGTTTTAAAGACAGACAGAGGAATTCAAGGAAAGAGGCATCAATATGCCTTCTGTTTAGGTCAGTAAAACACACCTCCCCACCCCACACAGTGGGTGTCAAGATCCTTTCCTCTGCTTCTAGGCAATAAAAAAAAAAAAAAAAAAAAAATCGATCACACAGCATCCCTACTTACCTTCCTTGATGTGTGCAGTAACACGCAGCCAGCACTTTCATTTTCAGCTGGAAAGTGGAAAAAAATAAAATCAAATCAGAAAAGTGTTACTATCACAAGTACCTGACAGGCGGCAGGAACCAGGTAGAAGGCTCAGAACAAGATGAAGTACCACTCTCTTGGCAGAGGACGATCTCTAGAGAAAAGCAGAGATTCAATTTTTACAACATTTCCCATTTGGAAGTGCGAACCAAGTGTAGAAGCACCTTTTGGCATTATATGATCAGTTGGGGTTTGTGTCTTGCAGCTTTTTTGATTTGGTTTTTCTCTCTCAGATTCCCTATGTATTTTTACTCTTCACTTCTTCCCCCACACCCTACCTCCCCAAAAAATCTAACTCCTAATCCTTTAGGTAATCATTTAATCCAATGCATCGTTGTTTGATAGATTGAGGCTAAGATTGCATGAGTCACACTCATTTGGAAACCATTCTTGTCCTCCTTAAAGAGTCAACAATAACACCCAGGCACTTCCAAGGGAGCGGGCTGCGAGAGATCTCACACAGCGACTCGAAGATGAGCACATTAATGTCTTGTCAACTCACCATGCTGCCTCCATAAATCTAAGTGTAAAGCAACAGAGCTCTCGAGAAAGAAAACTGCTGTTTAGAGACTATTAAATGTCAGTTAATATGCAGCTGAGATACAGGGACAGAGGTACCCGTGAAGTTCCCAGTTCAAACTTCCGTGCACCAACGTTAACATTTTCTTAGGGTATCTGTGAAGTAATTTTTCAGATGTAGGCTAAAAAACCAAATAAAACCCAGTTCTTTTTGCCACAAGCCCACTCCATGCTACTTGCATCTAAGGCAGCTTCTCTCTAGCATCACTAGTACCACAGGTACTGTCTTGTGCAATCTTCTCCTTTAAGGCCTCATCTTCACATGCCTCCAAAACAACCCTTCAGACTGAGCTGCTACCAAAATTATACATGAAACACATGAATAGTTTTCACTCAAATGAGCATAGAGACAGCATGGAAAAAACCCACTGGAGACTAAAAACTTTTCCAGAGGCCAAGCTGTGGAAAAGTACAGAGCTGTAACACAGTTACAGCTATTCAGATGAGGTTTTTGCTTCCTTTCCAGATTTGGACTTCAAGTCCTAACCTGTAAGAACTGCCACAATCCCGTTTCACAGGTTGACCACACAATGGGCACCTTCAAGCCCCATTCTGCTACTATCCAAAAAAATAAGATGACTGAGGATACAATTCACATGAAAACACCAGAACTCCAATTGCTTTTTGCACACAGAAAGCCACTTTAACCAAAAGCATCCCTGATCAAACAGGAATTCAAGTCACATCCACGGCAGGGTTAAAAGGCTGCAACTCAAACTGGGAGCAGAGTTGACTGCAGTAGACAAGAGGGAAAGGATTGCCTTCATCTCCCACTAAACAAAATAAGACAGTTCAGAGGCTTCGGTTGCATCACTCAACTTCTCCCAAAGTTCACTCGGATGCCGTACATGTGATTAAAAGCATCACTTAAGTAGACAAGTCTGCTGGTGCAATGGTCCCAATTATTACTCCTTTTGACACATCTTTTGGAAAACACAAGCTGTTTCATCTAAAAAATACTATTTATTATTAAAAAGCAAGCACCCAAATAAACCAGAAACATCAAGCATTTTCCCCAGGCTCTTACATTTGTAGTTCTCCAACACTCGCTTACTCAACTTACAGCCTAATTACACATGCAAAAGTATGCTGGAAGATTTGGAAGTCATAAATATTCATTGAGAGGAAAACATGTTTTGGCTTTTCTGCTCTTGCAAGAAATAGTTCTAGAGAGAGAAAAAAATACCCACAACCCTGAACAACAGCAAGCACGTGCTAAAAAGATATATCTGCATATCTGTGGTCTGTCCTTACGGATGCAGGCAAATGCAACTGAATTTCATGCAGCAACTCTTTTATCATGAGCAACTCTTATCAACATACAGACTTCCCCAATCTTCTCCGCTGAGAGCTCTCTCAGGTACTCATCTCAAATGAGCACCAAGTGCTGCTTTATCAACACAAGCAAAAACATCTAATTACATCTGTTGGACCAGGATCTTTCAAACTTCTCAAAAAAGCTATTCTGGGTACAGAGGTGATGCTTTGGAAGGCTCAGAGCCTCATTCATCATTTCATCCAAGACACTACTCAGACATGAGCCAGGGAAAGGAGACAGCTGGATATGGCCATCCCAGTTCTGGGCCGTTATCTTAAAGGCCCACTAGAGTGCTATAACGTCACTCAGGGGTAGTAGCAAATCCACTGGAACGTGAAAAATGGGTGGGCAAAAAAAAACAACATACAGACTTCCCAAGTGCTCTTCTGCCTGGCTTATAAACCACTCATTTACTTACTGTGGGGCAACCCACTAGGCAATGTGGGATAAAATCCTGCGTGAGGTTGCCCATGACACATCCATTGGGAGATAGTTTGGCTAAAGACCAAGACCAACCACTACCAGCTTGCCAGCCATTTCCTTCTCCTTCATGGCACTACAACTGCTTCCCTCTGGTTATGGAGGAGCTGAAAAGACGCAACACCCTTGACCCTTGCACCTCCATGGAAGAGCCCTTCATGGGGACAAAATGGATACAGAAAACCATGGATTCACCCTTGACTGACAAGCAAAACACTATCCATTGATGATCAGTTATGTATCACTACCAGGAGTAATAACTAGATTTCACACCTGCATGTCAGGATTAAGCATACTTAAACAGAAAGAAGAGGTCAGGGCCACGTAAAATTTTCATTTCTATTTTTGTGTTCTCCTTGCTGGATAAAGCAGCCTGCAAAAGTCTATTTTAGGCAAGCTAGCTAGCCATGGGCATTATTGTCTCTGTCCTCACACATAGTTAAAGGAGAGCTGCCAGGGGTGGCCGACCTTATCTGTTAGGCTGTGCTCCAGGTTCTGCCCAGGGGAAAACCAAAAAGTCAGCAATGCATCTCCGACATCTCCTGGCAGCCACTTCAAGGCGACACGCATATCCCGAATTTCTAGGATGCATGTACACAAGCACGCAGCATTACTGAATATGCTACAAGCAACTTGCTCGGAGTTGACTTCAGGTTTAGCAACGTTGATGAATTGCCAACATTAGACTTACACTAGTGGCCTTGTGTCAGCACATTCAGAGCCCTGCCATGGCACTGTGGCATGCCTCGGTTTTTCATTTCCCACTATTTGCAGAAGAACAGGACCCAGCCACAGGACACGAACAAGTAGAGTTAATACTTGGAAGCAAAAAAAATGCAGCAGGAAGTTTCTTTGGTATACTCCAAAGGGGTTTGATCCCAGCTGCCCTTTACATAACATCCCTGATAGCAACTCAGAGAAACAAAATCCCCTACTTGCTTCCCCTCCATCCTCTGTTTAGATAACATCTTCTATGCAAAGATAACCCTGAAAACAAACACATGAAAGTCATATGCCAAAGTCTAAGGCTTTTCACCTCTTGCCTTAAGAGATCTCCTTTCACTTAAGATCTCTTTTCCACCCCTTCCCTTGTACGGTTCCCCAGTGCTGCCCTTAACACCCGAGAAGACCCAAAAGTCTTTGGAGCAAAGCCACCAGTGGATACTTGCGGTATCATAAGACTGTATTTTTCCTTGGGATAAAGGAGCAGAAATTGGAAAGCAGGGACTTATTGGCCGTGCAGGTGTCAGCGCATATTACTTTAGATCTACATGCACTCCCCAGTGCATCTGCATGGTAAATAGGCTAATAGAGCAGAATACTACATTAGCACTTCCATGGTTTTCTCAAAAATATCAAAGATCTGCTTTAAGTGGAAGTATTTAAGGTTTGGGGGGTTTTATTATTAAAAAAAGCTATTTTAGCTGGGCTTTCTTCAGGCATCTGAGGAAATTTAAGCCTCAAACACTTGTGTTGAATCACATTTGCTAGCATGCTTTTAGAATCTGTTGCTTTGTAAAAAATATAAATAAAACCACATCAGCACACGGCATGACAGGAGCTTGTCAGGAGCAGTGGAGACACCTAACTCATCAGTGGCAACAAGGGATTGCACAAGCAGGATCTCAACAGGACTCTTTGCTGTCCTGCAACGGCTATGCCGAGTCTAGACTCATCCCCACCAGAGTTGAGTAATTTTGGTGAAATATTGTTAGATAAATAATTGTGCCCCAAGTATCCCACATTCCCATGATAGGGTGATGCGCTGAGCTGCAGCAAAAAGCTCTAGACTCGTCCCCACCAGAGTCGAGTAATTTTGGTGAAAAATTGTTAGATTAAATAATTGTGCCCCAAGTATCCCACATTCCCATGATAGGGTGATGCGCTGAGCTGCAGCAAAAAGCCTAAAATCAGCTGGGTTCAGCCCTCTTAAACCGATACCCAGGTTAAAGGCAGGTGGGAAACAAGCAACTGGCTGCTAGTTCCTGGAGGAGGCTGAAAGGAGCAGGCAGAGTGGGAAGGAAAACCTCACCTGAGTAGTGCTCAGCACAGACATCACAACGGCTGGGCAGGTGAAGGACTATCGTCTCGCATTCCTCTCTGGCCATCATGGAAGAATTGGAAAGACAGGCAGACAGCACAGAGACAGACCAGGGCTCTTCTACAGAGCCAAGGACAAGATAAGAGTGCCGAGCGCTGTGTCACTTGTCACACCCCAACTCCTCAGACATGCACACGCTACAAAAGCAAAAAAAATTTTTTTTTTTTAAAAGCCGCAATAAGTTTTGCCATTAAGTTTGGGATAGGGGAAAAAGGTGTATTTTTCCATGCCAACTGAAGGGACAGGGTGCTCAAAATCCCAGGGGAACCTGGCCCAAAGCAAACCCAAGGTGAAGTACCTAAAAGAGAGAAATGCTGCTTTCGTGCTGAACCACCCACACTACCCAACCCCCCCCGCACCTCCCTCGGTTTCATAAAGCACCGCTTTGAAAACACTCTCGTCAGGAAATTCAGAGGGAGGCCATCTCCCTCCCCCGCGACACAATCGGTGTATCCACCTTCCATTAGAGTATAGGAAGCTTCAGGAGT